GGGGACACTGGGACTTTCTAGGGCAGACTGGAAATGATGGGGGAGGCACTGGGGTTCTGGGACATTCTGGGGGATGCTGGGAAAAATACTGGGTGGTACTGGTATAAATTAGGAGCCATTGGTGAGGGGGACAGAGAAAAACTGGGAAGGATTGGGAACACCAGGGCGGATAGTGGGGAAGGACTGGAATGCACTGTGAGGCAACTGGGATGTACTGGGAGGGAAGTGGGGACAGTGGGGGCACACCGGAGGGGAGTGGGATCTACTGGGGATGGCTAGAGGAGATTGGGGGGGATTACTGGGACAGACTGGGGATACTGAGCGGGCACACTGGAGGGAACTGGGGGAGACTGGAAGGGTCTGGGGGGAAACTAGAGCATACCGGGAGATATAAGGGACACTGGGGGGTGCAGTGACGGGGAGTGGGATCAACTTGGGAAAACTGGGAAGACCCAGGGCTGGGACTGAACTGGGCGGGACTGGGAGGCACTGGGGCCACACCCACCTGGAAGTACCGCCCTTGGTGGAAGCAGCCGCAGTTCCCCGGGGGGACGCAGCGGGCGCCGTCGAATAGGAGCCCCTCAGAGCACTGACAGCCCTCGAAGCACCGCCCGCTGCAGGGGGGCGGGGCCGACACACCTGCGCAGGTGCGGGCACAGGTGCGGGCACAGAGCTGGTACTGGGAGCGGGGGGGGCACAGCAGGGCTGGGGGCGAGACAGAGGGGTCACCGAGGGGCACCTGGGGCCAAGGGGCTCAATGGGGGTCATATTCCCAACCCCAAAAATTCCTGCTATCCCAGATCCCTGACCCCCAAATCCCCAACCTCCAAAATTCCCATGCCCCAAAATTCCTGCCCCCCCCAAATTCCCAAAGCCAAAATTCCCACCCCCAAAATTCCCGACCCCCAAACTCCTGCTATCCCAAAAATCCCCAGCCCCAAATTCACAACTGCAAAATTCCTGCTACCCCCCCCCAAAAAAAATTCCCAACCCTCAAAACTCCTAGCCCCAAAACTCCCAACCCCAAAATTCCCACCCCGTCCTCCTCCCCACCCCCCCAAATTTCCTAAATCCCCGTGTACTCACGACATCCCGTCTCCTCGCGCCACTCTCGGAGTTCCCCCCCCGCCGCCTGACACGCGGCCGCGTATCCCTGGAATGCGGGGCAGGGATCGCCCCCTCCGACCCCCCCCGCGCACACCTGGAGCTCGCACGTGTCCAGGTGCGCCCGGGGGAGCACCGCGCGGTGACACCCCCCGAAGGGCCCCGCGGGGTCCGCCAGCACCGCGCAGCGCCCCGGGGGACACGAGGGCGTCCCCGCAGGGTCCGCGTGTGTGCAGTTCGGGGGGAGCGTCCCCAAAATTTTGGGGTCCCCGCAGAGCCCGCGTGGGGGTTGTTGCGCGGGAGGCAGTGTCAGCACCGCGTAGGAATCACCGTCGTACAGGATTTTGGGCCCCCCCCGCACGTGGAGCAGCCGGTGGGACCCCACCTGGGTGACCCCCAGGGAGCCCCCCCCCAAGCCACAGGGGGAGCATGTGGCGCTCACCGTCCACCTGGGAGGGGGCAAAGGGGGGGTTGGAGCCTAAAAGGGGGGGAACCCCCCAAAAATAGGGTTTGCAGCCCCACAACTGGGGTTTGTACCCCAAAAAACCAGGGTTTATAACCCTAAAAATAGGGTTTACACACCCAAAACAGGGTTTGCATCCCCCCAAACAGGGTTTATACCCCCCAAAAATAGGATTTATACCCCAAAATATAGCGGTTCTACCCCAAACCCCATGGTTAAAAATGCCAAAGAATACGGTTTATACCCCAAAACCCAGGGTTTATACACCAAAAGACAGGGTTTATAATCCCAAAGAAATACGGTTTGTACCTCAAAAACAGGATTTATAACCGCAAAAATAGGGTTTTCATCCCAAAAACAGGGTTTGTACCCCCCGCCAAAAAGGGTTTATAACCCAAAAGTAGGGTTTGCATCTCCCTCAAACAGGGTTTGCATGCCAAAAAGAACAGGGTTTATACATTAAAAAAAAAAGGGGTTTAAACCCCAAACCAGGGCTTGCACCCCAAAGTCAGAGGTTTTACCTCAAAACAGCCCTTTCCCTGCTGCTGGGCCCACCAAGCCCCCATTTCCATCCTCTTTTTCCCCAAAAAACTGGTGTTCTCACCCCAAAACCAGGGTTTTTGCCCCCAAACCAGGACTTGCACCCTCAACTCCAGGGTTTGCGCCCCCAACCCAAGGTTCTCTTCCCCAACCCAAGGTTTTCCACCCTAAACTGGGACTTGCCCCCCCAAACCCAGGTTTCCCTGCCCCGCACTCACCGTGACCTCCCAGCGCTGTCCCCTGTCCATGGCCACCGTCATCCCCTGCGCCGTCACCGTCACCCTCCTCACCTCCCCCTCGTGCTGCTCCAGGGCCACCCTGAGGGGCTGCGGCCCCTCCTCGGGGTCCCCCGCGTCCATCTCCAGCAGCAGGAGGGTGCAGGACCCCCCGAAGCCCCCCAGTTGCCCCCCGAAGGTGCTGTAGGTGCCCCTCCCCAGGAGCTGGCAGTGCCCGCAGGCGCTGCGGGGGTGGCACCCCAGGACCCCGTCTCGCACCCCGCACTCCTGGCCCGGAGGGCACCCCGGGGTGGGCTCACACTCCACGTACCCCCCCCTGGAGCACACGCAGCGCTGGGTGCAGGACGGGGAGGGGTAGAACTGCGCCCCCCGGGGGTAATAACGACCCTCCAGAGTGCAGCCGCACTGGGATAGCGGAACACAGGAATCCCCGCTTCGGAAATAACCGGGATCGCAGAAACAGCCCTCGGAGCACGGGGAGGGCTCGGGGCAGGACGGCGGGCCGGACTCGTCCTGGCAGGTCGGGGGGCAGGGGGGGCCACACAGCTCGTAGTGCTCGTTCGGGGGGCACACAGGGCCTGCGGGGAGGGGAGAGGGGTGAGGAGCACAAACACATATGGACAAGCAAAAAAAACCCCAAACCCTACATGGACACCCCAAAAACCCCACGCAAAACCCAAACCCCCACGGACACCCCAGAAAATTCCCTGTAAACCTTCAAACCCCTATGGACACCACAAAACCCTCACGGACACCCAAAAAAACCCAAACCCCCACAGACACCCTAAAACCCTCATGGACTCCCCAAATTCGTATGGACACCCAAAAAAATCCCAAACCCCTATGGACACCGCAAAAAAATTCTACAAAACCCCCAAGCCCTCATAGACACCCAAAAAATCCCTTGAGAACCACAAAACTCCCATGGACACCCAAAAAACCCACAAACCTCCATGGACACACCCTCTCCCCCTGCAAACCCTCACAAACACCCAAAAAACAATCTGCAAACTCCCAGGGATGCCCCAAACCCCCATGGACACCCCAAAACCCTCATGGACACCCAAAAAAACCCCTACAACCCTAACCCTAACCCAAAACTCCATGGAGACCCAAAAATTTCCCTGCGACCCCCCAAAGCTCTATGGACACCCCAGAACCCTCATGGACACCCAAGTCTCCCTGTGCAGACCCCCAAATCCCATGTGTGAACCCCAAACCCCCCATGTACACCCCAAAACTCCCTTGCCTGAACTGCACAACCTCCCATGCAAACCTCAAACCCCCTTGTGCAGATCCAAGACCTCCCCTGGACACCCCAAAATTCCCCATGTAGACCCCAAAACCCCTTGTAGACACCCAAACCCTCCCCATTTACACACTAAAACCACTGTGGACACTCCAAAACCCTCATGGACAACCCAACCCCTCTCCATGGACACCCTAAATCTCCCCATGCAGACCCCAAGACCCCCCCAACCAAACCTCAAACCCCCTAGAGCAGATCCAAAACCTCCCATGGACAAACCAAGACTCTCCATGTAGACCCCAAAAGCCCCATGGACAACCCAAAACCCTCCCATGCAGATCATAAAACCCCCATGGACACCCCAAAACCACCATGCAGACACAGAATTCCCATTCACAGCCCAAAACCCCACAGACACCCCAAAACCCATATTCACACTCCAAAACCCCCATGGACAACCCAAAACTTGCCATTCACACTCCAAAACCCCGCCATTCACATCCCGAAACTCCCCATTCACAGCCCAAAACCATTCTGGACACCCTGAAAACCTCATGGACAACCTAAAACTCCCCATGCAGACCCTAAACCCCCATGGGCACCGAAAAAACCCCATTCACACCCCAAAACCCCTGTGGATACCCCAAAATCCTTTTGGACACCCCAAAAGCCCCATGCAGACCCCAAAACTGTCATGGACAATCCAAAACTCTCCTGCAGACCCCAAAACCTCCATGGACACCCCAAAACCCCCTGTGGACACCCCAAGCCCCCATGGACATCCCAAATCCCTCTGTAGCCCCAGCGCCCCGTACTGCAGAATGCGTGTGTGCGCCAGGGCCCCAAGGCCACGCCGCGGCTCTGACACGCGCTGACGTAGGCGCCCACGGCCTGGCACACGGCATCGTGGTGGCCGTCGAAGAGACACGCGTCAAACAGACAGTCCTCCAGGAATGGGGCAGGGTCAATGACCTCGTGGCACATGGCCAAGGGTCCCCGTTTCTTCACCAGGACCCCACAGTGCTTGTCCCCGCGGTAGGTGCGGCGTTGGGTGTTGCTGCACCCCTGGCAGCCCTCGGTGCACCCTGGGGAGCACCCAGGGACCTCAGAGACCTTCCAGCTGTCCCCAAAGTGGGTCTCATTGTGGGCAGGGTGGCCCTGGTGGGTGACAAAGTCGTCGTGGGGGTCTCCGTTGGCGTTGCCGCAGAGGCCGCAGACGGCGCCGGCAAAGGTACTGGGCAGGATCACGCGGGCGTAGCTGTGCCAGTCGAAGGTGACGGTGACGCCAAAGGCCGTGCTGATGAAGCCGTGGACACCCCGCAGGGACACCCGGAGCTCGTGGGAGGGGTGAGAGAAGGGCAGGTCCAGCAGGACGCCATCGACCTGTGGGTAGGAGGTCAAAGGATGGACTTGGAGACCATCCAGGGGGTGTGGGATGGGCTTGAAGGGAACCTGGATGGCATGGGAACCTGAAGACCATACAGTGGCCTTGAAATCCAACATAACACCATACAATGACCTTGAAACCCACCTAAACACCTTAAAAAGACCTTGAACCCCCACCTAGGTGTCATGTGATGACCTTGAAACCAACCTAAAGACCATGCAAAGACCTTGAACCTCCCCCAAATGCCACACAGTGACCTCAGCCCCTCCTAAAACCCATGGAATGACTGAACCCCCCTCCCATCCCCTGCCTCTCCCCTACCTTGACCTTCTTGGGGTGCTCCTGGCTGAGGCTGAGGCTCACATTGAACACCTCCAAGGTGACCACCTTGGTGAAGGACACCCGGTTGTTCCCACGGTGGTTGTTCTCCACGGTGACATTGAAGGGCACGAGGGTGGGGTCAGGGGAGCACAGCCCGGCCAGCAGGTACACACAGGTGCCCATGAAGTCGTAGCGGTGCCCATCAAAGGTCGTGTAGTGGGGGTCCCCCGTGGCCACACAGATGGAGCGGTTGGTGGCCACGCACTTCCTGACGCCCTCCACCACGGCACACACCTCACCTGACTTACACCTGGCCTCCTCACACACAACCATGCCCAGCTCTGGGTCACAGCGGCACCAGGAGCGGCACAAGGGGTCCCCCCAGAACTCCTCACCGGGGCGGTGATAGCGTCCGGCGCGGGTGCAGCCGCAGCGGGACACAGGGACACAGTGCCCGGCGCTCAGCACGTGGCCGCGGTCACACACACAGGACTCCACGCACGGCAGGGCACACGAGGAGGGAGCATCCGGGAGGGAGCAGGTGGCTGGGCAGGCGGTGCCACACGGCTCATAGTGGCTGTTCTCAGGGCAAGGGAGGGCTGGGGAGGGAGAGAACCGGGATGAGGGATGGAGAGAGTGGAGAGCATCTGATGGGAGGGGTGAGGGATGGAGAGAGTGGAGAGCATCTGATGGGAGGGGTGGGAAAGGGTCTGGGAAACCAGGAGAAGGGTATGGAACATGAGGAGGAAAGTCTAGGAAGTGTGGGATGGGGGCTGGGACGTGTGGGATGGGGGCTGGGACATGTGGGAAGGGGTCTGGGACATGTGGGAAGGGGTCTGGGATACAAGGGATAGGGGCTGGGAACAGGCAGGACAGGGTCTGGAACATGTAGGAAGGGTCTGGGCCATGCAAGATGGGGGCTGGGACATGCAAGGAGGTCTGGGAAACAGGGAATGGGGTCTTGGACAAGTGAGATGGGGTCTGGGACATGTGCAAAGGGTGTGGGAACAGGCAGGACAGCATCTGGGACACGTGGGAAGGGGTCTGGGACACACAGGACGGGGTCTGGGTCACAAGGAGCAGAGTCTGGAGCACCAGGAGAAGGTTCTGGAGAACTTCCAGAAGAGGAATTTGAGGGGTTCACACTGAGATGGATCTCACTGCACAAAAAGTGCCCCAAAAATGCCCCCCAGGACCTGAAGTGCCCGCCAAGTGGCCCCTCAGACCCCCAAGGCCTGGGAGGATGGACCCCATGGAAAGGGGGGGCTCTGGGGGGCCTGGGGCCTCTGGGGGTCTAGAGGGGGTCAGGGAGGGTCTTAGAGGGGTCTTTGGGAATTTTAGGTAGAATTCAGGGAATTTTGGTGATATTTGGGGGATTTTGGGTGGAATTAAGTAGTTTTGGGGCAAAACCAGGGATCTGGGGAGAAACCAAGGGGATTTTAGGTTGGATGAAGGGAATTGGGGATGGAATTGGGGGACTCAGGGGATTTGGAATGAAAGCAGATAGGTTTTAGGAGCTGGACTGCAAAGCACCCCCATCCCTTACGGCATCCTGCTGGTGTCCTCCAGTCACCCACGGTCGCCCTGCTCCTCCGGCACGTGTCCGCGTAAGTCTCCAGCACCCGGCACAGGACCTGCCTCGCGCCGCGGCTCCGGCACAGCTCGGCCAGGCAGCTGCCGAAGAACTCCTGGGGCTTCACCACAGCATGACATGCCTGGAAGGGCCCCTGGAAGGACTTCTTGATGATCCCACAGTAGCTGTTCCCACCCCAAAGCTCCTTCTCCTCACACACTGGGCACTCCCCATCACAGTGATCCCAACAAAGAGGATCCTGGGCGTCGGGGTCAGAGCTTCTCCAGCCCCTGGCCCAGGCCACCAGGGCAGGGATGTTGTCACCGGCCTCGGGGATGTCGTCCAGGGGCTGCAGGTTGAAGTTCCCACAGAGGCCACGGACGTGGCCGAAGAAGCTGCTGGGGAGGTTGATGAAGAGATGCCAGTTCCAGTCGTAGGAGACACGGAGCCCAAAATCCGTGTCCAGGGTGACGCGGAGCCCGCTGGGATGGACACGGAGCCTCCCATCCACCAGGAACACTGGGAGCAGGGCCAGCTCCCCGTTCACCTGCCAGCATTCCCAGGTATCCCAGGGTTGGATTCAACACACATCAGCATTTCATTCCCGATATTCTATTTCCCACATATCCCAATTCTTTTTCACAGCATGTTCCCAACATTAAATCCCATCATACCCCAATGTTTTACACATCACATATCCCAATATTTTATTCCTGCCATATTTTATCCCAACATTCTATTCCTACCACGTTCAAATATTTTATCCCAAAATACCCCCCCGTATTTTATTCCTGGTGCATCCCAACATCTTATTCCTGAAATATCCTACTATTTTATTCCCTAGATACACCAACATTTTATTCCCAATTTATCCCAACATCTTATTCCCAATGCAGCCCAACATTTTATTCCCAGCTCATCCCAACATCTTATTCCTGGCATATCCTAATGTTTTATTCCAGACATACCCCAGCATTTTATTCCAGGCATATCCCAACATTTTATTCCCAATAAATCCCAAAATCTTATTCCCAGCCTATCCCAACATTCTGTTCCTGACATATCCAAATATTCTATTCCCAACATTTTATTCCCACTGTATCCCGACATTTTATTCCTGACACATCCCAATATTTTATTCCCAACATACCCAAACACCATATTCCCAATTTATCCCAACATCTTATTCCTGGCACATACCATTATTCTGTTCCTGACATATCCAAGTACTCTATTCCCAACATTTTATCCCCAAAACATCCCAAAATTTCAACAATCCACCTCCCAGTCTGACTGATTTATCCCAAAACGACACTGGTGCTGTGTGAACCATTGGCCAGATGAAGGAGGATGTTGGGGAGTGCTGGATAAAGCAAAAAGTTGGGAAAAAAATCTCAGATTTCTCCTCTTTCCCCCCAGCTCACCCGGACTTTCCCGTCCTCGTTGTGGTGGAAGGACACGCGTTGTCCATAGACGTCGATGTTAACGACGGAGACATAGGACACGGATCTGATCCCGCCCCGGATGTCATTCCTGGCCTCCACCCTAAAGGGCTCCAGCCTGGGGTCATTCCCATGGGATTCGGCCATGGTGTAGGTGCAGGTTCCTTGGAAGTCGAATTCTAGCCCGTCGAAGGTACGGAAGTGGGGATCCCCCCATGCCCAGCACGTGGCCACCAGCGCTGGGACACAGCGGGATTCAGAGCCACGGGGCCGGCACCGCTCCTTGGGGCGGCACCTCAGGGACTTGCAGGGGTCTGGGAAGGGAGGGAGAGAGGGGGAATGTGGGATGAGCGTTGGGAGAAGCCACAGTTTGGGGAAATGATGGGAAAATACTTGGGGGAAGTCATGGAAGGAACTATGGGATAGGAAAAACAATGGGATGGGAAAAATCATGGGAGAAACCATGGGAGGAACCACAGGATGGGAAAAATCGTGGAATGGGAAAAATCATGGGAGAAATTATGGAAGGAACCATGGGACGGCAAAGAGCTGGGGAAAAAACATGGGAAGAAGAATGAGAAAAAACGTGGGATGGGAAAAAACATGGGAAAGACCATGGAAGGCACCACAGGATGGGAAAACCATTGGAAAGATTGTGGGGAAAAAACATGAGAATCAAAATGAGAAAAACCATGGGATGGGAAAAACCATGGGAAAGACCATGGGAAAAACCATGGGATGAGAGAAACCAGGGGAGGAACAATGGGATGGGAAAAGTCATGGGATGGGAGAAGCCATGGGAAGAACCTCCCCATTCCTGACCCTCAGTGCCAGGGATGGGATCTGTTCCCTCTGCCTCCCCTTCCTGCAGGATTTTCCCCACTAAATCAAAATCCCCTTTTCCCCCATTTTCCCTCACTTTTGTTGATACATCCCAAGACCCCCTCCCGAATTTCACAGGATTCATCCTCAGTGCAGGAGTGGTCGTGGCAGGTGAGGCCCTGGCCTGGGATACAGGAGCACCGGCGCTGGCAGCGATCCTGGAAAACCACCTCATGGGGCTGTAGGGAGGGAGGAAGGAAGGAAGGGAAATTCATGAAATTAGGGGATAAAAAGGAAAAACGCAGGAAAGAAGGACATAAAGGCAGAGAAATCGGGAATAAAATGATTGAAAAGCAGGGCAGAAAAGGCAAAAATGGGAGGGAAATACTGGGAAAATAGAAAAATAAGGGAAAGGGGGAAAATGCAGGGGAAAAAAGACAAGTACATAAAAATATGGAAAAATGCAGAGAAAATGCATGAAAAGAGATGCCAATGCATAAAATAGGGAAAAATACAGGGGAAAAAACTTCCTAAAAATAGAGAAAAAAAGACAAAAATGTGGGGAGGGAAATGCTGGGAAATAGACAAGAAAATAGGGAAAAGGGAAAAATGCAGGGAATAAAGATGTAAATGCATAAAAATAGGGAAAAAAGGGAGGAAGTAATGCAAACTGTAAATCCGTAAAACTAGGGAACAAAAGGGAAATGCCATGGAAAGAGAGGTAAATGCAGAAAGATATGAACAAAAGGAAAAAAATGCAGGAAAAATAGAGGTGAAAGAGAAAAATAGAGAAAAGAAGGAAAAAAGTGCAGGGAAAAGGATGCAAATGTATAGAAATAGGGAAAAATGCAGGGGGAAAGGATGTAAATGCCTAAAAATAGGGAGAAAAGGGAAAATACCCTGGAAAAACTACCTTGTAGTATCGTCCATCCTCAAAGCACCCGCACTGCTCCTCGGGAATGCAGCCCTGCCCGTCTGACAGGGAGCCCTGGTGGCACTGGCAGCCCTCAGCACAGGTTTGGGGACACATGGTGGCCCTCCCGGCGCAGGTGTTGGCGCAGGTGTTGGTGCACAGGGAGTAGGTGCTGTTGGCCGGGCAGGGGAGGGCTGGAATTTTCATGGAATCATGGACTGAGTTGGGTTGGAAGGGACCCTAAAGCTCAGCCCGTCACCATCATCCCACATCCTGAGTGTCACCACTGTCACCCAACCCCAAAGAAGAGACATCCCCCCCAACTCCCAGCGCTCCAGGTGGGCTCTCACCAGGGGATCTCCCCAACCCCAAACCAGGGACATTTCCCCCCAAACTCACGGCAGAAGGATGGCGTCCTCCAATCCCCCACAGCAACTCCAGCATCCTGGCACATGCTGACGTAGCTCTGGATGCTCCGGCACAGGGCACCTGTATCCCCTCCAGTCACACAGAGGTTATGGACGCAGGATTGGGAATATGGGGTGGGGTCAACGACGCTGTGGCAGGAGCCAAAGGGCCCCTCAGGGGCCGTGAGGAGGCCGCAGTAGTTGGGTTTTTGGAGGACCAGCACCTTCTCCTTGGAGCAGGTGGAACACTCCTCGTCAGGACAGGCATCTTCACAAGGCCTATCCTTGGTTTTCCATGCGGATCCAAAGGCTGTTGCATCCGGAGCCAGTTGGCCGTTGGAGAGGTGGAAATCATCGTCACGTTGCCCGTTGTAGTTGCCACAAAGGCCACACAGCTGGCCCAGGTAGGTCTGGGGGACCGTGAGTGTCACGTGCTGGGTGAGGTCGTAGTGGACGACGAGGCCGAAGTCAGTGCGGAGCAGGACCCCTGTCCCATGGGGATACACCTGGATTTGCCCCTCGCCCAGGATGGCTGGGAGGTGGTGAGAGATTGAATTCACCTGGGAAAGGGAAGGAAGAGTCCTCCAGTGAGGAGGTGGGATCAGAAATGTGGGGAAAACACCTTCCAACCAATGTTTTGATGCATTTATGGGTCTTGCTTGAAAAGAAAAGTTGGGATGAATATGGATTGGGCTTGGAGATAGGGTGAGGTGTCCCCTCCATCAATGAAACACAATTTTGGGGGGAATCCATGAGATCTGGCTCATGAAGTGCCACCTTACCATGACATCTCCCCCTTTTCCTTGGGTTAAGGTCAAGTTGACCCCATAGACTTCCACAGACAACGCCTGGATCCCGGAAACCTTCCCCTTCCTATGGGCCTCCTTCTGAATTGTGGCCACAAACGATGTCACGTCACCCGCGCAGGTCTGGCTGAGGATATAGGAGCAGGACCCGGTGACATTGAAGGCCACCCCGTCGAAGGTGATATAGGCACTGTTTCCCATGGCCACGCAGGTGCCAGATGCTGGCGGGGGACACTGGAAGATGCCATCAACGACCTTCCCAGGGCTGCCATCAGGACAGGAAATATTTTGGCATTCCACAGCACTGCTGGAGAGGCACCGGCACTCCTCATCCTCTGTGGGGTAGAAGGTCTCATCCTCCTTGTAGTACATGCCGTGGTGGGTGCAGCCGCAGTGAGCTGTGGGCACACACTCGTCCCCGCTGAGCATGAAGCCATCATGGCATGCGCAGCCCTCGCGGCACTGCCCTCGGCATGTGGCAGAGCTGGCACCGCAGCTGTGCTGGCAGGTGTTAGAGCAGAGCTTGTAGGAGCTGTTAGGAGGGCAGGGAATATCTGCTGGGAAATAACAGGATCTGTGAAGAACCAGGAAATTCCCAAGCCAAACCCTGGAGGTTTCCCAGAGTTCAAGTGTGTCCGGTGATGAACATCACCAAACACAGAATTTTTAGCCCAATCTTTGTTTTCGTCCTTGTGGACATGATGAGGGACATCATCCAATGATAACGCAGTGCCTACCCACTGATGATCCAATGATCATCCATAAGGAACATCCCAATGCACTTAAATAGGAATTTTTGCCCCTAAATCACATAATTTTCTCCATTTTCATGGAGAAAACTGGGACATTCCCTCAAGAAATGGGATCCTCACATGACCTCCAGGCTGGACCCCTTTGCCCCAGTTCTGCTATTTTTGGTGCAATTTTGGTGGTTTTCCCTCTAAATCATCCAATTTTTATCCAGTACCAAGAAATTGGAACTCTAGGGGGAAAATGATCCCAGATAAAACAACTTCTTCCTTGCAAAGGGTTTACTTTGGGTGGAAACAGGGATTATGGGACGAAGACTTTGGCTGAGATTCCTACTGGTTTCCCACCTCTGGGTTGTTCCTACATGGATTTGGAGTGGAATTGAGGGTCCTGCTGAAGGAAAACTCCTCCAATCATCCCAACTTACAGCAGAAATTATCCATCCTCCACCTCCCAATGGACACGCCGGCAGCCCGGCACGCACTGGCATAGCTGGCAATGATCGGACACATCCCATCTTCCTGCTCTGGGAAGAGGCAGGAGTCCCGGATGCAGCTCTGGAAGTACAGCTGGGAGTCCACGTGGCCATGACATGCTCCAAAGGGTCCATCCTTTTCCAACATAATCTCACACCCCATCCTGGACACCTCCTGTTGCAGCCGTGGCGCCGTGGCGGCACTGGAACATTCCACCATCGATCTCTCAGTGCATCCCAGGATATCGGCGACCTTCCAGCTGCTCCCAAAGGCATCCGGGTCTGATGCCATGTTGCTGTTGCTCATCCTCATGTCGTCACTGGCAACGCCGTTGAAGTTGCCACAGAGCCCGCACAGGGCGTTGGCGAAGGCGCCGGGCACTGTCGCAGTGACATGGCCGTGCCAGTCATAGGTAACAACAAGGCCAAAGTTGGTCTCTACCACTGCGTCCTGCCCGTGGCGATAGACAACAATCTGCTTGTCACCATGGAGATACGGGAGGTTGACCAACCGCTCATCAATCTGGGGGAAAAACCATAAAAATGGACCAAACTGGGGGTCTGATGGGGAAATCCCAACTTATTTTCAACAGCCACAGCACCCAAATGGCATTGGTTTAATTAAATATTAGATGGAATTAAGTTTTGGATTTAAGAGTATGAGGCGGTTCAAGTCCCAGTGGGAGGTTGACCAACCACTCAAGTATCTGGGGGGAAAACCATAAAAATGGATCAAATCTGGGGTCTCACAGCAAATTCCAACTGTGTTTTCAACAGCTGGAGCACCCAAATGACATTGATTTAATTCCACTTCAGATTTAATCATTAATTAATGGGTGAGGAGGTTTGAGAGGAGGTGGTGGAAGGATAAAGGACCATTTCCTGAGCTCACCATGATTTTCCCAGGCTGTTCCCTGCTGATGCCAATGGTTTTGTTGTAGACTTTGACTGTCACCACGGTAATGGCCAACAGGTGCCCGTCGCCCTGGCGGCCGTTCTGCACCAACACCTGGAACCCCACCAAATTTGGGTTGTCTTCACACAACCCAACAAACAGGTAGACACATGTCCCCTGGAAGATGAACCTCCTGCTGTCAAAGGTTTCATAGTGGGTGGCTCCAACAGCGCTGCAGACCCCAAAAACTTTGGGATAACAATCCTGGATTCCCTCCTGCACCCGACACTCCTCCTCTGCACCGCAGCTGGAATTCCGGCACACTGCCTGCCGCTGCTCTGCATCGCACACGCAGCGCTGTGTGCAGGTGGGATCACCCCAGAACTCCTCTCCTAGGCCATGGAAGAGACCCCTGAAGACGCAACCACAGTCGGAGGGGGGGATGCAGATGTTGGCATCCAGGACAAGGCCCTCGTGGCACACACAGGAGTCCACGCAGGTGGTGCTGGCAGCACAGCTGGA